AATTATTTGGGATATATTACCTTATCGGATAATGCCTCGACTCTTTATAAAAGTAGGGAACTCAAAAGCGTTGCACTTCCGGAAACAGAAGCGGTATCGCTCAAACTTAGACTTCACAAACCGCACAGTAATGCGCACAATATTCACGATCAGGTATATATTTGAATTTAATAGAAAAAAAACAAAAAAAGAACAATAGATTTTATGAATATCTAATATTTGATTAAACTAATTATTAGTATATAGTCAAAAATATAACTTTAGAATGTTCGTTTAGGTTGGTCTGATCGCGATCAACATTCTCGGAGAACCTTATGGTCAAGAATTAAGTGGTCAAGGAGATGCACCATACAATCCTCATTACACGTCTCCTTATGACGATTTAGCATTTGAAATGTACGTTGATCGTGAAGTAGCAAAAATAATTCGACAGATGGAAGCAAAAAAGTTACAAGCCGTGGAAGGTGAAATTGTTCTATTTAATATTTGAATGATAATCTTTTTAATATATCTTTTGTTTACAAATTTTCTTCATCTCTTTCAGAAGAAAGATTCGAATACGCATCGAAGCTCAAAGTGGCAATGGAAAATTTAAGAAAAGCTGGAGAACGTCTTGGAAAATACGAATTGGAAAAAAAATATGCAATAGCCCTGGAAGATTATGATAAAGCAAAAGCGAAAAAAGCGCAGGCGCAACAATATAGGCAACAAGTTTATCAAAGTTTGGAAGTGGAGGATTTACTTGAAATTCATGGGGTAAGTTTGCTTTGTATAATCAATATGACGTCATTGATCGAAAAACAAACAAGAAAATAAAATAAAAGTATTCGAGTGAAATGGAATAAGCGATTATTTTTCTTCTTTCATTATTTACTACAGCCATTAGAAAAAAATAATTTATCATCATTGGAAGGAAAAGAACCGATTACCGCGGATACTTGTACTTCGAATGTAACCGCTGTTGCGGAAGATATCACGTCTCCTCCAAGATTAGTTGTTCCACCTAATCGTGATGGAGCTTTGTCACCTACAGGTCCAGCTCATCAACCACCTGTATCACCGTTACATCAAAAACCAAGTAGTCCAGGTATAACATAGTTCTTTTATACTAATAAATAAAAATATCAATCTAATCTAATTAAATTAAAAAAGTCTAATTAAGTCACACACACACACACACACAAAACTAATCTAATTCGTTATTTAATAAAAATATGTTTAAAAGTGTAAATTAACATAAATATTAATTTTATAGAAGTTACCGATAATCCTACAAACGGCATACTCGAGAGGCAGAATAATTGTAATAAGGGATCATTGAGAAGAAAAACTAAATCTGCAGGACCTGCACTTCGTTCCAGTTATGAAGCTTACGAGGAAAGAACTATACCTGCTTTGAGGCAGTAAGTAAATCTAAATATCTGTGTCAGCTATATAAAACAATACATTTTTAATATTTTTCAAATGTATTAATTATGTAACGTGTTATAGTTCGCATACGAATGAATTCACACGGGAATGTCATATGGACAATACAGAAACAAAAGCTACATCTAAACTTAATGATAGGGAAAAAAAGCAGGCTGCATTACCTATTGCTGTGTTTGGAATGGAAATGGTAATCAATATTTTGTATATTAATCTTTAGATATATAATAATATAAACAAAATATTTAAGTTACTATTAGGAGTACAAATAAGTCTCCGCCGTTTTTAAACAATATTTATTCGAAATATTGTCCATCACCAGCCACTACTTTTTCCCATTTTTCTGGTAGCATACGAATACCGCGTTGGAAGAACTCTTCATCTTTTGAGGCTATCCACGAATCGACCCAATTTTTGGTATCTTCATATGATGTGAAGTGCTGCTCAGACAGGCCATGTTCATCATCGATCAAAATAAGTGATTATCAGAAGAAACAATGTCTGGTGAATACGGCGGGTGGACTAAAACTTTCCAATTGAGTGTCAGTAGAGAATCCCAGTAATGGTTTTGTTCAGTTTGAGCAACTCATAATACACGATACCAAGCTGATCTCACCAAATACACAACATTAGTTTTTTTCCATAAATATTCGGCTTGGCAGTCGATGATGAAACTTGACCAGATGGTCCCCATGATTTTCTCTTCCTTGGGTTATTGTTGTGAATCCATTTTTCATCACCAGTGATTATACGATGCAAAAAATCCTTTTGTTCATGCCTAGCAAGCAGCATTTCACATGTGGATAATCGGCGTTTAATGTTTCTCGGCTTCAATTCATATGGAACCCAATTTTCCTGCCTTTGAATCATTCCCATGTCTTTGAAGCGTTTTGAAATTGCTTGTTGAATTCACTCCTAATGTAAGTGCAAGTTCTTCTTGCGTTTGACACGAGTCTTCATTCAATAATGCTTCCAATTCAGCGTCTTCGTACACTTTCGACGTTCCGCTATGTTCTTTGTTTTCGATGTTAAATTCATCGTTCCTAAACTTTTGAAATCATTCATGACAACTTCTTTCACTTAAAGCAGCCTCACCATATGCTTCTATAAGCAATCGATGTGCCTCAGCTAAAAATTTCTTCAAATTAAAGAAGTCAATTAAAAGTTCCTGCAAATGACGCTTATTCAGCTCAAAACTCGACAGTTTCATACGAAAAAAATATATGATGCTGATAAAAAACCATTAATATTTCAATTTTATATTGTTGATAGATGTTCAACCTTACGATAAAACATTTTACGATATAATGATATAACTATATTTTGCTGGTGGTGCGGTCCTTTTATCAAACGGCGAAAATTTAAATGTACTATTAATATTAAATGATATGTATATTTAGGTGGAAAAATTTTATTCGAAACAATTTACTGATAAAGAAGAAGGATTAATGCAGTTGAAAGAAGAATTAAGGACGTTCGATCCAGAAGTATCAAAACATTCGGCAAATAAAACTGCTAGGGCTGCTATTTTGTTATTACATAGAGCTTTAAGAGACAAAGTCTTCAGTGTTTATAGCTTAGCTGCACATTTAATTAGAATTTTTTTTGCTGAATTTGCAGCAGACAGGTAAAAGCAATACAAATGTATCATCTGCTTTAACAAAAAAAAAAACAAAAAAACAAACACGAATATTAAAAATAATATTTTATCAGGGTATCATCGACTGAAATTGCAAGAAGCGTAGAACGTTTACTTCCAGAACTTCTGACAAAGTCAGGAGATACTACTCCAAGAATTCATAATATGGCAGTGCACACAATTCTCAGTATGGCAGATTGTAAATGTGTCAGAGAATTGCACATAATTCCAGTTCATTTAACAAGACCAGTTAGTAGTAGTACGCATCAAAGACTGGCATTGAGCAGGCTAGAAATGGTCGAACAGTTAATATTAAATCATGGAATATCAACTGATAAACAAAGGTGAAACATTATATATTATTTTTACTTTATATTTGTCACTTTATATATCAAATCAATAATAGAGGAATATAGGACCTCCGTAATGAATAATAATTATTATTTCAAATATTTATTTGTTTTATAGAGGTCCTTCCTCAAAATAAATCTCAATCATTAAAATGCAATTACTCTGATAAGATATTGCAATTGTTGCAGTGGTTTGACATGCCGGACATTGTCTGAACTGGGTTCTTCAGGGTTGCACCATCCAGCAGAAGCAGTACGGAAAGTTTCAGAAAGAATTTTGGTTTTAGTATATAAAGTTAATCCTAGGTTGGTTCGTAAACAATTACCTCCGGATGATGATATTACTAGAAGAAACTTGCTCTATCGTCAACTTTTTCATGAGTTCGATTTGATAGATCTTCAGGTATACGATCTTATAACGCAAAAATGAAGAAAATATTTGCATACAATTTTCGTATTAATTACAATTATAGAGAAAAAAAGAAGCTGAAAGTGGACATAAGGCTACGACGACTCCGACGCGCACAAAATCAACAGAAAATAATGTAACAGAATTAACAAAATCTCCACAAAGGACAAGTCCAGTTGTTAGTACAGGTAGTTCTACGAGTATTACGTCCCCGTCCGAAAATAGTACTGATCATAAAGGAGACAAGTAAGTATTTTTTCTTTTGTTTTTTTTTTTTTTCAAAAATATTTATAATATACAAATATGTAAATAAAAATATATCCATAGAAATAATTTTGATCTATTATTCTAGAATGTGCATATTTTGCTTGTCTAAAGGACAAGTATATTCTGAAGAAGGTTTAAATATACATTATTGGAGAAGTTGTCCAATGTTAACAAGATGCGAAGCATGTAAACAAGTTGTTGAAATTTCATATTTGAATTCACATTTACTAAGTAATCATCTATTCATTGAAAAATTGTATACAATAAAAGAAAATTGAAGCAATGTAATATTAATATATTTCTATTTTCACAGATGAATGCGATATGAGGCGTAATTACAGAAAATGCGATACTTGCAAGCAAGCTGTACAGGAAGGTTCTTTCGATGAACATAGGAAAGAAAAGACGTGTTCAAGTATGACTAATACAAATCAAAAAAAAAAAAAAAAAAAAAAAACAGGAAAGAATAAAAGTCATAAAATTTAAATAACAAATTTTGATTGTAGAATCTATTGAAGGATATGAGCACTGTCCGCTTTGTCATGAATTGGTTAATCAAAATAAGTGGAGGGAACACTTAATGGGAGATCAACCATGTAAAAATAATACACGAAATAAAATTGGCAAATCTTGTAAGTTAAATTTACAAAATTATTTTCATATCAATTAGTATAAGATTGATTCTTAATATTATTCATTTTGATAGGTTCCAGATCACCATCTAATACACAAAATCTTGGTGGAAAATTAACTTCACCAACTGGAAAAGATTACTAGCATTAGCCATCCAGATTAAAATCTGTTCTAGTCCAACAAATTGTAGAAAATCTTTTATAATTTTCTTTATTTTTAGTAGTTTATATATTTGTTACAACTACTTGTCCAACGTTTTTCATATTTATACTTATATTTAAATCGTTTTTTTTTTTTTTTTTAGAGCTAAACCCGTCCTTCTCACAAGTAGTGAACATTTATTTGAGAAGATTGTTAACTGAAAATGACATAATCTTCAATCTTTAAAAAATTAAAATTCTATTATGGAATAAAATAGAGAAAACGAATAAGGTGATATTTAATATAACAATTCAAGGGTAAAAGTTAGTCAATCATAGACAAGTTTACATTTTTTGCAAGTATAAGATAAATACTCCAGATGGTTAAATTTATCTAACAATATAATATCAATCGTTATGGCATTAGCCACCTCAGAATTCATGATTCCTCTGTATCCGGCCAATATTTATAACATGTTTGTACAATATCCTTTAATAACAAAATCTTACTAGGTCCATGACCAAACAATAATAATAACAACAGTTCAAAAATATTCATTCTCAGATGAGTATTTCTTGCTCAAATATCATAAAATAAGATATGTAATTTCATAAAAGGTAATTATTTCTCAAAAAATAGATAGTAAATACATTTCCCATTATTATTATAGACGTCTTAATTTTTACCCTTCAAAGCATTATTTTATTTCTTTTCTTACGAATCTACATTATCTGATATTCTTTTACCTGCTTATTTCAATTTTAGAAAAATGCAGAATTTGTATAAAGTTTGTAGTAAAGTATATATATATATATATATACGTATTTTATTAACAAATATTATATATATATATATATATATGCATATATAGTAAAGAACGAACATTCATTGCTCTAAGGAACATTAAATTGGTATAAGATTATTACTAGCATTCACGCTAGTAATAACAATTATTTCGATCATTTATAAAGAATCACCATTTTCATCAATTTTTTCTTCAATAATGGTTTCTTCATTTGGCAGTTCTTCATTATTAATTTCGTCTGTTAATAAATTACGGTTTTCTTTGAATTTATTTTTTTCTGAAAAATATCAAACCATAGTTATACTTATACAATTTAATTCATACAATTTGTATATATCATTATAGAATTCAGATTGTTTACCAAACATTGAACAGTCAGCTCCTAGTAAACGTAAGTTATGAATCGCATCATGAATAGGTACATAAGCTCTAAGAGACATAGTACCCCTCCAACCTACTAACTGTAATTTTAATGGATAAAGCTTATCAGCCTTTTCTTCTTCGTATATAAGTATACAACTGCCAGTTGCTAAAAGTGCAGATTATTTAATCAGTATAAGATTGAATTTTATTATTATTTAATTTCTATAAAATAATATATAATATTATTATAAATAAATCATACCAAAGTCTTTAAGAAGTTCTTGAGTTTCTGCTGTCAATTTGATAATTTCAGGTGGCGTACGAGGTTCATTATTTTGCAGTAGCATAATTAAATCCTCTTTCATTATTTTAAGTTTTCTACTCTTGCCAATATAATGAAAAATGCTGTGCATTCCTTCTTGTGCAAGTCTGAACGCACATTTCATATTTTTATTGTCACATCGTACAAATGTCTTAACACCTGTATTAATCATTTTGACTTTATTTTCGTTCGATATGACAATGTCACGAATTGCTGGTGAAGTGAAGTAGATGTTTTTCTTTTTCCCTTCATTGCATCTGACTAATAAACATCGTGGATCCAAATCATCAGATATGTCATAAAATTCTCTAATGAATTTAGGGAAAAGATCAACAATTTGTTAACTAAACATTCTTTATAATTAAATATATGAAATCTTACTTAATGGATAACCAAACGTCTTCCTTATCATCTTTAAAAAAAACAAATGGATCTTCTCTATATCCAATAAATCTTTTACGCTTCCTTTGGGGCTCTTGCAATTTCCTTTCATCTTCTAATGCTCTTTTTTTGTCACTTGAATTATTTTCTCTTTCCTCATGTTGTGCTTCTTCTTCAAGACTCAGTTCACTTTTTTTATTATCGGTGTTTGTATTTTCTAAATTTTGATTAGATACGCTCGATTCTAGATTTTCCCATGGTAAAGGTTTAACTTTTTCAAGTACAGCAACAAAAAATCCTCCTGTATCTTGATGATGTGGTAATATTCTCATGCTATGTCATTCAAAAAAAAATATATATATATATATATATATATATATAAATTATATATTACTTAAATTATAAGTTGCTTAAAGAAAATAAACAAATTCTATAATTTTTTAATTTACCAACGTTCTAGATGAAACTTCGAGCAATCTTCTTTATTTGGAGGAAACATTTTTGGTCGAATTTGTGTTTGCCACTGCTGAGGTACATCCTCCCATGTATTATAATATTGTAAATTTTTGGAAGCTGGCAACCAATGTGTTACACCTACAAGATTTTGTTATTACAACTTTTTACAGATTATACATAAATATGTATATGATTTGGAAAATTTTAAATACTTGCCAGGATCGCATATTAATCCTGGTACTAAATCTCTACAATCCACTATTTGAACAGAGTCTTGTGTTTCAACAAGAACTCTGTGAAGCACTGCTTCATTCTCAACAGGATTTAATGAACATGTAGAATACACCATTCTACCTCCAACTGCTAATAATTCTAATCCTCTCCTTGCTATTCTGTATTGAATACTATAAAACAGCCGATATGAATTAAATGATAAATTTGATGAATATATTAATATTCATAATTATATGATATTTACCCATGAAGATTATCACCATTAGCAGCATTCCATTTACACCAAATATCTGGATTCTTTCTCATTGTACCATCACCGCTACATGGTACGTCAGCAAGTATTCTATCAAATCTATTTAAAATAATGTTTATATTTGAATACATTGAATAATATAAAAATATATATATATATTAATACAAAATATCTACTAACTTTAAAATATCTTTTGTACCATCCGCCTTAGTTACATTAAAATTTGGCATGATTGATGAATCATGATTGGTGATAAGAATATTAGGGCTATTTAACCTTTTAGCTTGATGTACAAGCATATAACAACGATTATTATCAAGATCATTTGCTATTACAAAACCTTCTGTGAATAAATTAATTAATTAGTATACAAATTGTACGCGTTTTTATTTTCTTCAAAAATATAAATATATTAAATATAATGAACTTATACCTGGAGGTATATTACCCTCATCGGCATGTATCATTTCTATCAACTGTGCTGTTTTTGATCCTGGTGCAGCACACATGTCTAGTACCTACCAAAAAATAATATATTTAACGAACAAAAAGATTAAGAAAATAATCCATAACATATGTATTTACCTTGTGCCAAGGTTTTACATCCAAGACTAAGGGTGGTACCATACTAACTACTTCTTGTCTACTAATACTACCACTATTTGTTTCTGCGATTAAAAAATTATGTAATCTAAAGTACGCTTCAGATCTACGTATAATTTTTCTTGTCAATTGTAACTGCCATGCTAATTCTTCTGGATAAAATGGCAAACAATGTAAAATTGGTTTTTTCTTATCAGTATCTTCTTGATCGTCTTCTAAATTGGTATTTAAAATTTCTTTAAAAAAATCACTCTTTATAATATCTAATAAAACTTTTGCTTCGGATTTAGAACCAGTAATACGAAATGCTACGGGTAAAGTAGTCCTCATTGTGGAAAGAAATTCGTCCCATTTGTCTTCAGGAACAATATTTTGTGTTTTATAATAATTTTCAAAATCTTTATTCTCTCTTACTATATCAGCGTAAGTTCTGTGTGGTATATTATCCCATTCATTTTTTTTCTAGATAAATTTTAAGAATAAATTAGAAAAAACATATGCATTAAGAAATATAACATAATATCAAGAAATAACATCATATCATTGAATTAGAAAAGTTAACCCTTAATCGTTGCCGGTATATATAATAACATAATAATAAATTCTTACCTGTTGCTTTTCGCGGCGTTTTTCAGCAAAATTCTTTTTTGGTTTATGTTTTCGTCCTTTACCCATTATTATTCAATAGCACAAATGTATTTAAAAACTTCTTTTAAAATAAACACGTGCCACTGTACCACCAACAAACCACTTTATTTGTCAAATTAGCAACAACAGATGGCGCCATTATATATGTATTAAAAAAAAACCCGCGAAATTATAAATATTTCAAAATACTTAAAGATTTATAATGGAAAAAAAATGAAATGAATGTTTGTAAATATATTGATTTTAATATCACATATAAAACTTAAAAATACTATTCGAGTAATTTATGAGATCTTTCTGGTAAGCGACGCAAAAATAAGAGTAGTTTATCAAATGTTTATCATTTTAAAATTAACTATTTAGTCAAATATATATATATATATAAATTAGATATATTCTTCTTTATGTGACATATAATAAATTTTTATTAAAACAATGTACATAATTTTAATTTAATAATATCTTACTACGTATTATTAACAGCTTATTTTATTCAGATAAATATATTCAATTCATTTTTCACATGTATACGTTTAATAAACATATGCTTTTAAAATTTCATATTATCGTATTCTAGATCATTTTGTTCTCTAGAATCATATTTACAAAATTTTAATAAAACTTTTATATTATTACAAAACAAGGCGTTGATAAGATAAACCGTCAGATTCTGGTGATTCCATTCTATCTCTTAAATGTTCTAACGTGTTTGCCAAATGTTTTTGAATTTGTTCCGTTTCTTCACTAACTTCCAAATTGGGAAGTTCTTCCCTAATTTTTGCAATAACTTGATTTAAGATTTGTACCGTAACCTGTAATAAATAATTATATTTTATGTACTATTATATAACAATTTTTATGATTAATAACCATCTTACCGCAGTATTTCCTTTTTCATAAAAATAAATATAGTGATTCAACAATTCTACATATAACTGTACTTGTACAGACGTATCCATACATTGACTCGCTATCCTTATTCCTTTTTTTAAGCAATCCAACACTTTATTCGCGTCGTGCATCTAAAATTATAATAATTTTAATGATATGAAATATAAAATTGCTATTATAATATATATTTATAAATGTAGATATTTACTTCCTTTCCATCTGTAGCTAAAGATTTTCCCGACCAAAATATGTGTGAACAGGTAGCAACACCTCTACATTGATCTGGTTTTCGTAATAATTTACTAGCATATAAAGCGCATTGGTTTCTCACTGGTTCTGCATTTTCTTCACTAAAGCAACTCATCTGTTCAAATGTAGCAATAATCAATGTAATTGCTGCAAGTTGAGCTTTAGAGTCACTAATTTCATCTTCGTATATTAAAAATGCTTGACTTATAAATTCATAAGCAACTATTTCAAAATTATTATAACGAATTTCTCCTATAGCTATAGCGCCCTGTAGGAATAACCTTAATGGTAATTCTGCCAATTCAGCTTTCAATAATGCAGTTATGGTTGTATGACAAAATTGAAAAATTTTTTGACATTTTTTCTGCCACATATCATCCTGAAAATAATTAACTTAATTTAATTATACATCATCTCCTTTTGTATTTCAATAAGATCTACGCACCTGATCTTTTAATGCTTTATATGTAAAAGCTAACTGATATGCCTGAAAGATAATAGGTGGAAGGGTGTATTTTATTCTTCGATTGCCACCGGCACTAAAGTGTTTCCTTGCAGCACTCAATATCATATATTGTTGATCAGCAGTATCAGATTTAAAATGATGAATTAATCGACCAAGAAGACCTTGTTCTTCTGCAAAATCTTCAGGATCTTCTTCTATGCTAGGTTGATCAGATTGATCTTGAACTAATGGTGCGACCATTGACAAAACAGCATCCACTTGTTCTTGAGTTGGTATCAATGTTTCATTTTCTAATATATTGGTTATTATATAAATAGCTAATAATTTTCTACCCTCGTAATCAAAATATTCTAATAATGGTGCATAATGTTCCAATTTCAGGACGGTCAAAATATTCTTGTAATTATCTACAGGAATTTTCATTAACCTAACTAATTCTCTTGACACAGCACTATTGTACTCCAACCTAAATAAAAATAAAGTTTTAGTGTATTTATACCTTTCTTATAATAAACGAAAAAAAAAAAAAAATTAATTATATTACGTACTTATCTACATTTTGTTTTTGGAATATTTGTACAGTAGTCAACAAAACTTTGTCAACATAATCTACCCTATCTGGATAGCATTTATGAGCTAAATTAATGAGAGCTACTTGAAGGGAAACTATATCTTCAGATGGCATATCTTGTCTCGTCTAAAATAATAAAATATTATTTAAATTAACAAATAATTAATAAATTATTAATAAGTATTTTTCAATAATATGTCTTTTCAATTATTCTCAGACTTAAACTAAAAGAGTAAGGAAGACGTGTAGTATACGTGTATATATATATATATATAATCATATAAATATCAATAGTTACATAAGATTGATCATCATTGAATAATTGTAAACTATAAAAATGACGAAATCAATTTCTATTTGATAATCATTTGTACCTGTATGATAGTTGCTATTTGATCACTAAATACATCAAAAAGTTTAACATCTTGTGGGATGCCTGGAACTTGATTAGGACTTCCTGGTCCTCCCACACCATCCGATCTCTGACTATATGCTGCAAGTCTATCTATTAAAGAAATAATTATATTTTTCACATTTACTCCATTCTGTAATTCTGCACAAGATTTTAGAAATGCGTTTAGTGTCTGTAGATGGAATTCTTCAGGAAAAACCTATGCATAATTTATAATTAGTAATTTTATTATTTATATGTTAGGAAAATACTTAATCACATTTGATTGATAATAATATCATACTTGTATAATGCATTCCATGAGATATTCTTGAGCAATTGCATCCCTACAACTGACTACTTGTTCTAAAATACCTGGTAATACTAACTGAAAAATAAAAAATATTTAATAAAGATAGTATTTATCAAATACATTTATTATGATTTAAATAAAAAAAAAAACAACTTACCTTTTTATATTTATCTAATGTAACAGATTCTAATTGACTTAATCGTACAAGATTTGTTCCAACTAATATTCGTAATTCTTCTCTTTCTCTTTCTCGTCTCTCTCTATCTCTACTATGACCCTGATGTTGCATACGTACCCATAATTTATTCATTTCTGCAAAATTCATAAGAACAAAATCTATGCTGTCACGAACCTGTAAATAAACAACTCTCAGTATTATAAATCTTTCAATAATTTCTTTTAATTTTGTTTACTTACAGTCCCATCTTCATCATCGCCTTCTGCAACATCCGGTAATATATTACGTATACATTGCAATAAATAATTTCTCAAAAAAAGACCTCTTAAAGGATGTTGTACACCTCTACACATTTCTACCAAGTCTCGAAGGAGATTTCTTTTTAAGCCTGGAGTTGTTTTAATATACACCAATCCAACTGTGATAAGCAAATATCTATAATATATAGTAATAGAATTTTGATTAATTTAATAATCTAATCTAAGTAGGATATAGAGTATAATAAAAAATATCAACGTACAATCTTGGTACTATATTACCAACGTACTGCACTAACTCGTATAAATCTGTAACTTTCCTTCCTTTTTGAAATTCGTCTAATAAATATAATTCTAATTGTCTCAGCTCATCTGTAATTGCCATATCTGATTGCCATATTATAGGAAAACTTTGTTCAAAGTTATAATTTATATTTTAAGTCACACACACACACACTAATTTCATTTTGATATATTAAAAATATTTAACTTTTAAATTCATAAACAATTATTTCTATATTATTATAACAAATTCTTTTCTATAGCAATATTTAAAAATTATATTTTATAAAGAGCTTATACGTTAGAATAAGAATAAATAATTTACTAAGATAAGGATACAAAGTTCATAGTAGCTTTTTGGACTTAAAAGGGAAGTCCTAAGTTCTCCTAACATTGTTGAAGCGTGTTTTAATGCATCCATGAGTTTCATTTTATCCAAACAATGTTTCATTTGAAAAGCTTGAACTTTGACCACGCCTATTGCATCTTCAAGGAGTTTTTCTTGTTCTTCCACTCCGGTCATGGCAGATGTCATAGGCTGTGAAAAAAATAAAGATACCTACCAGGAACACCAGGTAGTACCATACCAGGTAAGCCATTCAAATCGAGCATGCACCATTTAATATGCTTAAGCATCTGGGAAGTCATTAAGATTATTGAATTTACTCTAAATACAAAATATTTAACCTAACAAATAACAGATTAATCAAATAATTTATTATTTCTTTAAAATATGAAACAAATATTAAATGGTAAAGATGAGACGAGTAAATAAAATAACTTAAACAATATATAGAGTACATTCAGATTAATATTATTAATTCTTGAAAAAAGTTACTATATTACAATAGAGAAATAATATTTAATTTTGATAATATCAACTGTATAATAAATTAATGAAATTTTTAAAAGAAATATGTTTTATTACTTTATATGTTGAAGATATACTTCAAGGTATATAATTAAACATTTTTACATAAATTAACCTTGTCATGCAGTAAATTTGTTATTTAAAGATAATCATATGTATCTTTACTTACAATTAGATCATAGGGTTAATAAAGCTTTCAAGCAAAGTATATAATACACTGTTTAAAATGATGAAGTATTTACCATTTTTTACGAAAAAATAAATAACTACTACACTTTGAAAACACCCTCTCGATAAGGAAGATATATTTGATTTCACTGTAGTTCTTTAAACGGAGCGTCGTCAAGCCGGTAGGTACATTGTACAACTGATTATGTATATACTTGAATAAATATATATATGGACATTAATCCTTCATGGTGGGGAGTTTTCTTTCTAACATAAGCAACTGTGTTTCTCTTTCCATCAGTAATATTTAGCCTTGAATGCTTGAGAATTCTTGATTATTATGAAAAGTTTGCTAATATCAAATGTAAGAAATTGACTCGAGTAAGAAATGTCAATTGCATTTATAACATATGATATCTATCAAATATACATTCAATGGCGACTTTGCATGAAGACCAATAGA